GAATCAGATAGCAGCAACAGCCTCTGCATGGTAGCACCACTGCACCACTGCACCACTGACTCCCGCGTCCTTCCTGGGCCTTCCTGGGGTCTGACACGCCCAGCTCACCATCCTCCAAGACAGCTGTGGAAACAGCAACCACTTTCCACCTTGTTCTTAGCAGGATGTTACACTTGTTCCAAGCTTTTATCCACTCAGTACACCCACCGTACCCGACTGCTAACTGGAATGTGTTTCCTTTATTTCCCGGCTGGCTTTGAAATGGAAACATACAGACAAACACACAGGTGTAGTGTTTTTCAATATATCGTGACAGCTATTAGTCTTGAACTGCAAATATTAAAATCCAGTGTAAAACCAGCAATGTCTTACAACCCTATTTAATAAAAATATCTTTTTTTCTAAATTGTACTTTATTTCAGAAAATCAGGAAAAAACAGAAGACTGTGATTTGCTCTCTTGCACTTACAGAATGGCGCCCTCTATTGGAGAATAATGTTCACTTATTAATCATTCCCAAAAGACATCGTTGTTTGATACTTCTGTCACATTACGATGCCTTAGAGTGATGCCCCCCCCCACCCCACCCCCCCAGATCATGCTAAAACATAAGGCTCCTTTTCTTATTTCATGCCCCAGTAGAGAACATTTGGCTGCTGGGACTTCGTTCAGCATGAGATTCGCAGCTGCCTGCATGCTGCCAAAACAGAGCGACGTACTGTAAAGGCCTTTTGATCTGGACCTAATAAGGGATTTCATTTGCAGAGCCATATGACCCCTCCCTGACTGTGGAGACCATGTGCTTGGAAATCAGGCTGAAAACTGTAGTCACATGTCATCAGTCAAAAAGGGAAATTTATCTCCTACGCTTGTGTAAAATTATATTACAACTTCAGAACAATTTTAGTGTAATGACAGCCATAGCCCACTACCCAGACAGCACATACAGTATATGTTGAAATGACATTGATTCCATATCAGATAAAAAGGTTGAAACAACATTGATCTTCAGTCTTTCACTTTATATCAACATTGAATCGAGGTTTTGCCACCATCGATTTTTCAATATTGAAAATCTGACCAAAAATCAATTCAGTTTCAATGTTGTTAATTTAACACTGACCATAATTCAACACATTTAACTATAATTCAACGTTGAAACAATAACATGGTGTTATCTGGGTATCAAGTTTTCTGGATTGCAAATTAGACACATTTTACGCCACTAATAGGCCTGGTATTTATGATTATTGCATTAGTAAGAGGATTCATACATTAATTCATTCATTTTCTATACCACAGGGGTCTAGAACCTATCCTGGAAACAACAGATGTAAGGTGGTTCAAATTTTATTTAATTTATTTATACATTTTAGGAAATACTTTAGTTTACTGTCTGTAAACAACATGAAATATTAATATACATAGACCTGCCATAATCTTGTCAAAATTATTAATAATGTAACTATAACACACTGATTTAGTAAGAATTGGCAATTTTTGAACACACAAACACACAAATATATCAGATGATAATAAACTCATCCTAATTCCATCTATAAATTTCAGGTGACTTGACATGCCGAATAGACAGCATTTGAAGCTGTATGATAAGCAGAATAGATTAAAGACGTCTCATCACATTTCCGCAAATTACAAATTTCAAAATACCCAAAATATCAAAAGATCGGAGTGTATTTTGCGAACCGTGATGTGAGATCGTTTTGAAAGTGATAAGTCTCCGTTACATTTCACATAAAGGGAAAATGCAATTATCTACTAGGCGCCTAATCATACTATATTGATTAATTTCATGAACTGATACATAATGCAAAAGATGCCTGACTAGATCTCTGCTTATATATGAATACAGCCAGGTGACACGAAAACTGGCAAACGTCCTGAGTAGCTCACTGACCAACAGTGTTAATGATGGCTACTGTGCTCATCTAGCGACCCCAAAAACCACCTTTAACCAGCACTATGACATAAAGGGGAGGAGGACACCATTAAATCTTCATTGTCAAAGCTTTTCCTGGTGGGGGGGGGGACAGCCACATCATTCTGACAGTTATCAAAGTTAATAACTTGGACCAAAGCAAATCATTTGCTCATCCTATAAACAACTTCGTGGCACGATATCAGAAAATCATTTACAAAAATATTAACAGCTGCTGTGGGTATTAGGGACCAACCCTTCAGGAACAGCATCCATTATATATTTCCAACACTACAGATAATAAGTGACTGACTCAAGTGCATTACTTCATAGGCAATACACTTTTCCAGCTTTAAATCTGTTTCAAGGCAACCTTGGAATAATCGAGATAATGCTGCCCTTGAAGGATGTAATTAGCTTTCGGTGTATGAAGTGAGTCTCCTCTCGTTTGGCAGAATCCTACAAGGGATAAAGTAAAAGTACACTTTACCGCGGCCCAACTTACAGTATAGGGACCCAGGACACAAACATTCTCAACCTAAATGAAATAGTGTATAAAGGTGTCCTGTTAGCTATTACTGCTACAACGGAGTATCCCGTCTTTGTTTCAAACCCCATCTCACACTCTAAATCTGTTAATAGTAATCTTATTACATTATTTTTAATGCTGTTTCCATTGTTTTTCAAGTTCATTGCCTGACAAAGCTAAATGTTACATGTTTCTTCACTGGAAAACCCAGCTTGTGTTTTTGAAATGTCCGTTCAGCACAGATGGAACAGCCCCAAATGAAAGGGATCCTATCTGCGGGCCTGCTCCCCGTCCAGACATTTTTTATCTATAGTTTAAGTTATTATTCAGATCCGCTAAATCTTCCTTAATTCACCAAGATACCAAACGTAAAGTTGGCTAGAACCGGCTCATTGTTTTTAACCCACGAAGACCATCCTTTGACAAATGACTGCATCAATATATCGATAAATGAAAAAAGTTACGTATTTCGGCTATACAATGTTTACAGGCTTCCTGTCCAGGGTGTCTCTTACTGCGCCACTCAATGTTCAGACATCCTACTCCTTTTATTTTCACACTTGCCAAAGCAAATCGAGTTCTGAGTCACTGATATTTAAAATAAATGAAGGTCCCACACCAAAGTCCCCAGCTGTTACTGCCCAATAAATAAGAAGATCTAAGACCTCTGGAGATGATACAGCAATAAAGCAGATGCAATAGCCTCAGGCAGTACAAGACACCTTGAATGGGATACCAGCCCATCACAAGCTATACACACACACTCTCATACACTACATTGGATGAGCTGTTGGGAGATGGATGGATGGATGGATGGATGGATGGATGGATGAGTGAGTGATATCTATAGCCTGAAAAACTCTAAGATTCTGACTGCTCTCTTTTCAGTTCGGCATCCTTGGTTCCAAACACCACAAAAAATCGGATATGAAACGCACTCCGTCACACTTCTACCATCCTACAGACCTGACGTATTACAAAGTTGCACTGCTGTTTTGAATCATTGCAGATTAGATCTTCATTATGTTCCAAAGAGGCCTCCCTCAGGCATTCTCCAGGTCACGTTCATAGGTCTGACTCTCATCTCCACAAAGTAAATTCTGTGTGCTTTAAATACCTGATCACTTATATCAATATAAATCAAACTGATAACCAAATCATAAAGTGTCTGAAAAGAATACACAGTACATATAGTACTTTATGGGACATCGATTAAGCTTTACGACTTCTGCGTGATGGATTTTATAAAGTCAAACACCAAAGTTTACAGAACACCAACATGGAGCCCAAGCAGGAAACCTTCAGAGCAATGTTCTCATATGTCTGGTGCATCATCAGATTAAAGAGGCTTCATTTTACGACTATTTATTTTGTAAAAGTTATATTTTAGCTACGCTTCATTAGTTTATAATAATATTGACAACTGATACATATTAAATTAATCCTGATCTGATGTTTTGTAAATACTGTAGATTAGAAACCTGAGAAAATGTAAAAACATAGATTTTTCTTATTAGTCAACTCATGGAAGTCAGTTAAATTAATTTATACTTGTTTGTTCCATTAAATTTTTTCTGAACATTCATAACACAGTCATATTCATATATTTAAGGGCCTAATCTTGGGGCAGTTGGTCTTAAATCTGAGTGACTGTCTGAATAGGTGTCATTTTTAGTATTTCTTCAGCTTTGCTTTCACCTTTTCCATCACACAGCCATCAGATCTGCTTAATCTGAAAAGCCCTCTGGACTCTAAGATCTTCAAACGTGATTTTAGTGATTAAAGTCTCTCATACAAAATACAGCAGTCATGCTTCACTGAAAACACAGGTAGCACCTTACTCATATAATGATAAAAGAAAAGTAAAAATATAAAAGTAATATCATAGTAATTTTTAAATTTCATATTCAGTTTTAATTATTGCAAATTAGGACTTCATATGACACGTACCACGTATTGATACTGTTTTTAAAAACTATAATACAGCTGTTGTAGCCTAATAATTAATAACTGTTAATAAGCAAACCTCCATTAAAATAGTTAAAACTGTCGTTGACGCTGATTCAATGACATTAATGAAGATGAGGAATCCACCAGCTGGACCTTTCACATAATTCGAGCTAATTAACGAACAAATACATTTTTGGAACTGTGAATTTATTGCAATCATAAAATAAAAGCGGGAAAACGTTAATAATTTAAAACAGCGAAATCAGTCACTATGTTCCCATTATGCTTCCACAGCCATGATACAACATGTATAAAGCACTTATGTAAAATAAGTACTGAAAGACGTTGGCCGATTTACTTGTACTCAATAAATATACAGCTAAACAGGCACATACCACAGGGACTGAACACGCATGGCTCTTGACAATTATGACACCAAAAGTCATATTGCCATACAGTTGTGTGACAGATGACAGCGTCACAACTTCATAATACATGTATTTATTATTATTATTATTATTATTATTATTATTATTATTATTATTATTATTATTATAGGTCATTCGTCGTAACTAGCCTTACCTTCAGGTGGATTGGCTAATGTTATGCCAATTAGTAGTAAGACAATGTGCAGCGCCACCAAAAATGCAAAGTTTTCAGTCCAGCGCCAGTTTGACATGCTGCCTGCCTCGGGAGGAACTGGCTCTCAGATTGTATCACAGCAATTTGACCATAATATACAGAGAAGTCACTGATGGGCAGGACGCAAGTGACTTCCTGCAATACGATCAAGTCCAAAAAAGAGCGAGGGAAGAAAAGAGGGGGAAAAAAGTAAATCTTGGCCAGATTATACTTGACACTGATAACTTTTCAGCCAAAGATGCAGAAAATACAAAATGCTTTTTAAGGAAAAGTAGATACTTCCGGATGTTTGAACGATAAATGACAACGAAGGGGAAGCACAACAAGTACAGAAAATGTAAAGGACTAATGCAGTTGAAATCTTGCTGGCAAATCTGACACTGCTCACGATCCCTTAACAATGAAGGCGCCTTGTTCGCCAGCAGAGCCACCATGTGCTTTCCCGAAGGATTCCGCAAGGTCCTAAAGGCAGGATCAACCACATAGTTTATTCCAAATAACTGTTGCATAAAATAATAAGTTTAAATGATGTGGTTTGTATTACATAAATGCAAAGCCTTACATAAAAAAAAATCCAATTAGTTTTAAAAATAAATAGTGTCAATGTATTACTGCTGAACCGAACCGGTATTTAAACTATGTTTCACAAGACGTAGTTTTTTGATTAAACATTTTCAATGAAGTATTTCTTTATTTTTATTCAAATTAAGATAAGAAAAGCAATCATTCAAAGCATTATTCTCTAATGAACAGCATTTAGTAGCATGATAAATTTTCAGAATAAGCAATTCTTGCTGAGATTCACAGCGTCCTGCTAGCAGGCGGCACCCAGCGGATGTCGGAAAGCCGCTTTTCCGCCCTTGATGCTCGTCTGCACAACACATGTCCCACAGCAGTGTGGGGGCTGCCGGGGAGACATAAACTCTTCTTTTGTACAAAGAGATCGCGCAGACAGTGCCCCTTGTGTGTCGAGACGACGGCTGCAGACAGAAAATGCTGACAAAATTTGGGAGCAACATAAGTGAACTCTGCACGCCGGCATTCATGTAAGGTTGACTTTGATAAGCAATGTATTTGTCTAATTGGACTAGTACCCATAAGTAATATAAAACGCAGAATCACTCATTAAAACATTCTGGGTGGCTGTCCTCTAATACACCTAAAGTAACGTGCGACGGGACATGGGGATACCCTGAATGGGAAATTCATTTTGATGGCATAAATCGGCACAGACATTTAATTAGCAAGCATATTCGGCTTAGCAAACGGAAACATTAAGAGAAGCATGAAAGACCAAGTTAATTATTAAGTAGCAAGGAATTAATCCTGGTTATACTGGGTGTATCCAAGTTGTTGGTTGCAGTGATTCACTGGAGGGTAAATAACTACTCACTGCCAATAAAGAGGCACCTGGCAATGTATTAAGAAAAGCCAATGGTCGGCCCAATTCTCCTTTTTTTTTTTTTTTGTTTGGGCAAAAGTTTGCTTGACATTTGACATTATGGGCTGTCAGCCTCATTCCGGCATAAGCACTGTGGAGCTTGTCAGGGATTCCGGCAGCCTTCCAGGCGCCAACATGAGACTGACGACTGTCATGTTGTGATGTGGATCCAGCTGTGAGCCGTGAAGAATGACTGCATGAGTTCATAGCGCTCTTCGGTTGTAATCCCTTCACAGTACATTCATCCCAGAATAACGACTTCAGAGCAACCTCAGCATTCAATCACTTCTAATTCCTTGCGCAAATAATATCACTACATGAGCCACTTTATCTCCATCATACATCTAATTCTCTGTCATCCATCCAATTTTACCTATTACCTTTTCTGGTGTTTAATTCTGAATTTTAATCCTAGATAGGCTTGTCACAAACTGGAAGGCTTAAAAGAACATTGAATTTTAAACTAAAGCTGTATTCTAGTGACAGGAAAGATTCCAGTTGTGTCAGACTGTCTTCTTGTCTTCTACTGGGAACTGTTTTGTTTTCATTTATATTTCTGTTCTTCCCGTGCAAATTCTTGTGGCCAAGGAAACAGATCCTCACCATTCTTGCTCCTAGTTCTGTATGTCTTGGTTTCACTCATTCCTATATTTTAAAGGTTGAAGAAATCACTAGAAGGAATTTCCACTTATTGTTTCCCTCTAGTTTTATATTTGAAAAATATGTAATTTAACAATGACAGCATTCAGGTCTCAGTGAATTCTTTCCTAATATCCTGGGTTTGCAGAGGTTATTTTTCTCCAAGGCGAAATCAAGTAAAATGCAGTGAAATTGTGCTTATTGCATGTAAACCTTTGCTAATATTTGTGCCTTTCTGTGGTCTGATGACCCATCCAAGATACATTTACAGCCTAAGCTACCAGGGCAGACTGTTGTTTAATGGACTGGAAGTCTGGATGTTTTAATTGCTTTCAGAATAAAACACACAGGATTTGATTTTACACTCATACCCTAATTAAAGGTATGGCGTCTGTTTAGTCTAATTTGTAGTTCCACAACTTATTTAACATAATTAAATGTTTCATATTTTGTTCTCTGACTTCTCGTCTTTTGTTGTCGAGAATATATCTCTAGTCCATTAGCCTGGAAATAATATTCTGACTTACAGGAATATGAATTTGAAAAATAAAGTATAAAAATAAAGTAAAGCTGATTATATTAAGATTTCTGCAGAAGTGTTTATTTTACAGAAAAGGCTACAGAAGCATATTGTCATTATCAGTGCAATGTTTGTTTAAATATTTATTGTTACGGTTACATAGTGCTCGGAGGTTTTATAATTACCACAGAAGAGCAAAAGGCAGTCACGATACTTTGCTCAAAACTTCTTTAACTGTATATGAGCACACATACTGAAAATCGAAGTGAAATTGTAGAAATTTATATACACAAAGAAAATTTGAACGATGGGCTGTTTTACAGATTATATATCATTAGAAGTATATGAGGTTAAGAAAGACCCTTCAAACCTTTGATTAAATTACCTGCTATATTCATGATGATATATAAAGTTACTGGCCGATGTATTACTTGCATAACATAGTAGCCTGTGTATTAGCACTCATTAAAATATTTACATAACAATGTAAGTAAACAAACTTATGTACATTTGCATTAATATTGATATTTAAGTACCAGATGACACATTCAGATCAGATAAGTTCTTCTAATCCAAAGACACCCACAGTAATTTAAATTTATCTGTCACACAACTGTATGGCATTTTCTGAGGAGTGAGCAACAGCTCGAAATTCATTCAGCGTTGTCAGAATGGTCAATTGCTGTTAAATGAGTTAACCGTGTCTGTCAGATGGGTAAGAGCGAAAAAGTAACACTCTTCATTTTCAGGTTTAATGCATAGCCGTAATACATGAAGTGATGCACTTATTTTCATTATAATTCTGACACGAAGTCGTGTTCAAGTCTTCTACAATTCAGTTACATCCATTTCCCACCATATTCATCTAATACATTGGAGAGAGAATTAAGCAGAAAGGACAAATTACTCCAAATTATTATTTATTATGCCGGATCATTTGGTAACGCTTTACATTAACTGCACCTTCATTATTCAGTGCACCCTCATAATGCATTCATAGAACATTCATAAGCAGCATGTAAGTGTTCCTTAACATCCTAACATACCTTAACAGGTGTAGTACACATTAATAAGAAACAATATATTATAATAACAAACATTATAATCATATTATTATATAATGTTTGTTATTAATATATTTTAAAGCTGTTAAGGCATGTTAATGCATTATATTAATGCATTATGAAGGTGCTCTGTGTTGTATGAATGCATAATTAATGCTTTTGAAGGTGCAGTTACTATAGAGCGTTACCAATTATTTCAAACACTTCAGGTGCCAGTTAATTGTGGAAAAGGAATTGCAGTACTGTACATACAGGAAGAATGTACTGAAAGAACCAAACATGTGGTAGATCAATTTTAACCTATGGCATCAGTGCCCTGTTTTTGTTAAATTTTAGATCAACTAGGTCTAAAATGAAAGATTTTTGTTGAATAATGTCATTCCAGCAAGATGAGGTGCATTTATCTCCGACAGGCAAAGGGACATGAGCAGATCAGAAGATTTCACATGTCCCATCAAATAAACACAACTGCATGTGGCTGGAGAAAACAACCGTATGAGTGCCGGTGTTGGCCAGTTTCATTCATGACGTGCTCCAACCTCTACCTGGGTCTTATCCCGTGTTTTCAAGGCAAGGTCCTTGGCTGAAAGTGCATGTTGGCTGAAAGTGCATGGAAGCAGAAAGGCAGAATTATCTTCTCTTCTAAGTCTTCTTCAGTCATGAGTTCTCTGAAGAACCTGTTCTAGAAGTTTCTGTAAAAGAAAAATATCATACTTGCTCGTAGTGTACTATATGTAGTATAATGCATACATACGTGCAAAAACATTTTTTGCATTTTAATAATCTCAAAACATGACCTTTTTTATCTGAAGGTATTTTATGGTATCACTATCAGTGTTTTGTACGCCAAAAAAGACAGAGAGGGCTGCATGCTGATTAGCGCAGTAGGATCGCGGCCTATCCATGCCAACCTGCAAGAAATGACCTTTTTTAGCTAAACTTCCACTCATCCAGTCATGCAGGATCTGGACAAAGAAACTGGTTAATACTCGCTCATTTTTATCAGGGGGAGATCTGATACTGCCATTGCCAGTCTGTCAGCCTGTCAGTCTAGCAGACTGTGCACATAGCCCATGAGGAAATGTTTAGGCAATCTGTAAGTCAAACTTTGACTTCAAGCAAACTTTGCTTATAGAAGTGACTCCGACGCTTGTTACCCCAGGGCTCTCTGCTGAAAGAGACCAGAATGAGACAACCATGTCATCCAAAAAATGCAAAAAATAAAATAAAATAAAGGAATAGCTTGAGTGCACGCAGAGCAGCCTGGGGGGCCTTAGCTTCTAGGGCTTTTTCATTACATCTTACCTTTGGATCATGAGATCAGGCCCATGGACTGTTGTGTATAGCTGGGAGGGAGAGCGAATGGTACGAGACAGCCTGGCAGTGCATTTCTGTTTCACTGGATTTCTTTAGATAGCTTCAACCTCATTTCTGCAGCTAACGTTTGTCAGTTGAGGTCCCTGTATTATATAGGCACCTTGGGGGGGGGGGGGGGGAGTCTAGGGGCTGACTATCTGGAAACACATTATCAATAAAACTTGCGACTGCATGATGCAGAGGAAAAAGGACAATACGTCTTCCCAGTTACAATAAACTGAAAATTGGTTCCCACCCAGCATTTATTTACAGTGAGAGCTACTTTAGGAATGTAAATTATCTGGCAAGCAACAAAGTCACAAAGGTATATTTTTCTGACTGGGGGGGGGTCGGTGAATTTGCTCTGTGTTAAGGTGATGGTCTGATTGTCTTGATTGGCTTTTTGATCACAATCAACTGGTTTGCCGATAAGTAAAGGTAACTACCAGCAGGAGTGTATTTCAGGAATTGTGTGTTAAAATTGTGTGTAATATTTATAAAGTACAGTTACAACAAAAAGCATTTCCATATAATAATTTATCCTTTTTAATAAGGAGACGAAGCATTAAAAAATGTGATCTGAAGTGAAATGGTGACCTCTGCTGGAAAAAGAGTGAATACAAAAATGCAGGTCCTGGTTGTCGATCGTACTTCCGTTGGCATAATTTCTCACTTGGTCTGACACAAGCAAAAAAAAAACAAAACCTCTCAAAATGACAAATCTGCAAAATTCCAAAAGATCAAGTTTCAAGTGACGTTAGTGAAAACGAGTGATTTTAAGGCTCCCTGAAAACTTTTGGCCAGGCAGCTTTGTACATCAGTGAATATACCCACTAATATACCCTAGCAAGAGAATTACTCCTGTCTGACAACAGGTAAGAAATGACACTGTCCTTTCTCTGTGTGAAGTGCGAATCCCACACAGAAAAGAAAGTTCCACCTCTAAAACTGAAGGCCTGTCTTTCGTTTGTCTGTCCTTTTCCACCAATCATTTTACCATCTGAAATCACACATTAAACCTGACATCAACAGAAATGTACAGACATACGCTCATAAACATAATGCATGCTAGCATAAAAAGTACTGCACATAATTTCTTTAAAAGGGTTTCAGAATGACTGCAGTTATGATATTGTTTTAAATTTTAAACAGCAATAGCTTTTAAGACTGCTATAACTGCTGTCACACTTACTGTTTTATACGTATGCCACCACTCATGGAACATAACACTAAAGTCTCTGAATTATTTTTGTACAACATGAGAGCATAATGGAATTGCTGTGCTGTGTGAATGCAACCGTTAAAATTTTATTTTAATTGTCTGGTCACTTTGAGTGATTGTAAAGAATTCTTGATTCCATAGCAGAATGTTTTCGGAACTCTCGGAAACACACTTCACGTCTTTCTTTGCGGTGCCAATCTTTCTTCACAACTCATTAGTGAACTTTTTACAGATGCAAAAATCAAGGTTCAGTGTTTTTAGAAAGTCCAAGATAGAAAAGAGCTGGAGGTCAGGAGGCCTTACCTTCTTAAAGAGCTCGACCCGAAGTCTATTGGTCTGGGACATTATTTTCTTTTTCTCTTCCTCCTTCTTCTTCATGACTTCAGGCAGCTTGTTGTATATCCTGACAAGATATTCAATCAAGAGAGGGAGGAGTTTGGACACCACTGTGAGGGAGGCGGTAGTGGCAGGTGCTGATTATGGTTGCTGCTCATTCAAGGCAGGAAATCTCAAATCAAGGCAGGTCCCTTCACTGAGGCGAAAGCTCATCACACATCAATAACTAGCCAATAGCATTACAAGGCAAGTCCATTAACTATCACAAATAAAGCTTGTTTGTTCTCAAGTCAGTAAATTAAGATTCCCTATCTCACAGACACCTATAATTACACTGATCTGCGAGTCATTCCAGAGAACCTTCCGAGCCAGAAGTATGCGCAGAACAGAATAACATGAGAACCATGTACAGTAAGTACCTAACATCCACAAGCGTGTAAAAGTACACAATGAAATGAGCGAGGAACCGGGCTGAGGATTGACGCACCGCTTGGATCGGCTCTGCATCTCCTTCCCTGAGATGACTCTTTCCTTGGGTTTGAAAAGGTTATCTGGAAACGCAAACAGAGCCATGATGGAGGTAAACAAAGATGTGGTCAGAACATTTCACTTCACTGTAAAATTTTATACCCTGAAATGTCCAAACTTATCCGTAATCAACACATCAGTTTAAAAAAGCATCATGTTTAACTAAATGATCCTCTAAGACAGTGTTTCCCTATCCGGTCCTTGGGGACTCGCAGACAGTTCATGTTTTTGCTCCCTCCCAATTACTTGGGAGTTGAGGGAGTAAAAACATTACCAGTTTCAGAAACACTGCTCTAAGACAGGGTTTCCCAATCCTGCTCTCGGTCACCCTCGAACAGTCTGTGGGTCCCCAAGGACCGTCTGTGGGTCCCCAAGAACCGAGTTGGGAAACACTGCTCTGAGATTGTGCAAAATTATCTGTCCAGCATGTATAAGATCTAGCAAAAATATCTATTGCAGAGTAATAGTTTTGCTATTTACTTTATAACATCTGTATTTATGATGGCTCCTACATTATCTAGTTCCCCTTGTTATAATGAATCAGAAGTTTTTCTGATGTAATTTCTTTCTTAACAAGAACATATGCATGCAGGTGCAATTTGATGGTCACTAAATGTTACTTCAGCAGTAGTGAACATCATTTAGTGATTACACAAATGAGCGTGTTATAACCGAGAGTGAAGGCTTTGAAGCCGAACATTAATCAGTGACTTGTTCAGCCTCATTAAATCACTCTCAAAATCAGAACTGAAGGAAAATATATCCATTAGTCTGTTACCCAGACTACCTGGCTCATTCAGAGAACTGCAATACTGATATTTGACCAGCAGAGGAAACTAAATCCAATGGAATCAGAAAATGCTGAAAATCACACTGACAGACTTATTAAAAAGAAGATTCAAAACACAACAGTATCATCATATGAAAGGGCTCTATAAATGAATATCGTGGAAAAAAACCAAAATCTATAAAGCTTTGTTATTCCGTAGTATAAATAATACTATAGTAGGACTAAGTAATAAAATGGCTATGTGTGTAAGAAATACCAGTATATATAATCTGTCAGTTCAGATATTTACAAAATGAGGAATCCATTAAAGGGCAGTACCGCTCAGTGGGTGGGGCTTGGTGTATTTTCTCCTTCGGCGTTCCCGTGCCCCCCCCACTTCCTGGCCTGGGGACACAGCAGACCTGCGCTCCAGGGCACGTCGCTCCAGTGCTCTCAGTCTGTCCTGGGAATGACTGATGAAGTCTGGGCGAAACAGCTGCAGGGCCTCCTACAACGTAACCAGACCTCATAACCCACGCATTTGCTGCTCCTCCCTCAGGGCTGGAGAAATTCATTGCTCAGTAGGAAGGAAAGACTTAAGAGAGCTATACAGCAAGAAACCTACTTGTTGAACAAAAAACATTATCCAGTACGGTGAGTCCAACAATTATTAGAATGTCATACTTATACATAACCGGCCATTTTTCAGCAGAATAAGGAGAACCGTACTTAACAATCTTTCCCAGGCTGAAAAAATGGCATATTCTATACTGGACACAGAGGTTGATAATACAAAAGATATGGATGCGTATTCAGGCTACAACTCAGGTTCATCTCCCAGAAACTAGATTTTGTCCAAAAGCATTATGACTTCAAAATCAAATGATTTTCTACACAACAGGTTCCATTAAGATGCTGGCAGAGTTGCCTGGGGACAATTCTGTACCCAATGTACAATGACCGTTGAGTCAGATAAGGAACAATTCAGACTATCCATCTTTTAGCTCTTTATCCTGGTCATGGTCCAGTGGCGCATGGAGCCATTCTGCAGTAGCACGGGGCATAAAGCAGTGCACGGCCCCCCATATGACACATACATGCACACAAACTGCAATCATACACTGCATGCAGTTTAGATGTTCCAGTTAGCCTAGCTGCTTGCGTTTGGACAACACTGGGAAAATCAACAGGCACATAGACTGAGCATAGATGCAACTCAAGGCCTCAACACTAGAGGGGTGAGGCAAGGGTGCTACCGTGCTAACGAGCCACCCTCCAAATTCACAACAATCATGCGAAAACGCATAGCAACCATAAGATCCCAAGAGAGCCAAGAAAATTAATATAGCATAGTATTAGAAGAGAAGGTACTATGTAAAAATAACTATACTTAAGTTAACAATTAAAATGTTTAGGGAATAGTGCTGCCGGTGCCTCCACAGGCTCAGTGATATCTACAATAGTGTGATGTGAAAACTTAGCAGTGAAGAAAAGGCCCATTCAAAACATTTTCCCATGCCGTGATTACATAGGGCTGTTTGAAGCCACCATTACACAAAAGGAGATAGAAAAACGAGCCGGCTACAGGGACAACAACTCAAGAATGATGATGCATCAGGCCTGAAAAGAGGAAATGATGATAGGAGAGTAGGACTCTTGGCACAGACGTCAAACTGATATCCCATTTACTGGGAGTGAGAGAAAACAGAGCAGGCAAAATGTGCACAATATATACACATGAAAGGAGGGAAAGGTCAAACAATTCAATAAAAACAAACTTAGTCGCTCTCTCTCTGACTCTCGATCTCAAGACCATTGAGATCTATGCCCACCCCCTAGTGGTAACAAAAAGCAGTGCACCATTTACATAAACTGATATCGGCAAATGTGATTAATATGCTACCTATCTGAAATATGACCTAATATGGTTCTTACTGTGTACATTTTGAAGCTTGAAATTCACATCATTTTTACGTCAATTTTAATATAAAGCCATGAATATCTCTAGATTTAATTTAAGCCTACCCTGAGAGTAAGAGGATTCAGAGCAGTCTTCTGCAGCACTAATTTCCAGCTGGACTTGACAGAGAGGGACGCGGGAGTCTCTGAAATGTGGTCCACGCTCCACGCAGTGTATGGACCTTTCACAACTTTTCTCTGACCTTGCGGTGCTCTCCCAGAATTCCCAGCATTCACAACTGCAAAAAAAACAAAACAAAAAAAAAAAAAAATATTCAGACACAAATGTTAAAAGGGCCAATTTGAAGGTCCGAATGCACAATGAGCCTTTAATGAAGCGATCGTCAGAAAGCCACCATCTGGCACAGAGTTAATTCTGTGCCGACCCTTCTGTGCTTTCTGAAGGTGACTAAAGGAAGCGCTTTACCCCCCCTCATGCTGTCAGCTGGGCGTCCCTCCCACCCCTAGGGCTCCTTGCTGGTTTCATCGCAGAGAATCGGGAGGCTTTGATTAAGTTACATTCAATTACATTCAATTAGTAGAAAGAGACAATCTAGGTGTTGTGGCCAGAACTATATTGTGACCACTTGCATTTAAAGATCATCAGGTCCCTGGGCCCAGACAGGCCCGTAAAGGGTGACCTCCTTACATGTCCTACTTTGGGCCCTTGACACTAGTATGCATCCCAAATCCACTGTTGTCTGACTCTGTATGTAAGAACAAGATCATTAACTGTTACTGTGGGAGTTGTGTGCAGCTCAACAGTCATTGGCTGCTGGGGCAGCAATCAGAATGTCATTGGTTCACATCCTGAACTCAGCAAAGCATTTTCACCCTCAGGCCCCTTGAGCAAGGCCCTTAAACCCCAACTGCTCCAAAAAATCTGTAGGGGGCGATATACACCAACTTAACTGTTACTTGACCACCTGATACTGTGTGCCGTTCATTTATTGGGAAGAAAAAGGAAAAATGGCACGAATGGTACACAGGTCATTCGCATGTAAAATAATCGATAAAAGGTACAATGCAGTGTTCAGGGGGTTGAACATGAGTATTAATATTCCTATGATATGGTGCAAGGAGAATCAATAAGGAAGCAGCACCGTAAGTCTTACACATCAAGTGCTCTCCAGAGCGGCATGACCCACACACCTTGGGCTACATCGTTAGCTTCCTCTGTGCCCCCTCTACAATTTTGGCATTGACATGTCTTCTTGTTTCCAGCTCGATCTCGACTTAAAGCCTCTGGGGACAAGTGCCTTGACTCTGAAGGTGACACTTCAGACGTCAAGCAGCACATGTTTAAATCCGAGGTCATGTTGTTAGCGGAGTCTTTAAGTCTTGAGCTTGGTTGGATTGATGCTGGAGACGCAGTGTCCGGTTTGAATTCCAGACTCCCACGCACACCAGGGAAGCCTGACGGCCTCCTGGGTCTTTCTAATTCATTTCCCCTCCCTGGAGAGTTCAGGGCTTGTCTGTGAAGGGCTGTGCTCTGGAGGCGCAGTGACAGGGTAGACCTATAAACACCAGCCTTGCTGGGCTCCATGGTGCCTCTCCCCAGCGAAACAGACAGTGCCCTGTTCAGGTACAAGACTGAGTTCACAGCCATGAGCGACACCTCCAGATGACTACAAGTCCAGCAGCTACACTGTGCTGAGGACTCATAGAAGTCACAGCTATCCTGCTGCCAGATACCAGAGAGGGCGTTCTCCTTGCCCTCTCCATCGGTGACACAATGTGCTCTTGTTTCACAGACGTTCTGGCCCAAGAAATAGCTTTGCCTGTGATCTGTCATTTTTATGCTGGCAGGACGTCTTTTATTCAAGAACGGCTTGCTATCGCAGTCTACCATGGAATATCCCTGGGCCGTAGTAGCAGAGTACTTGTCTTGGGCCAACTGGCCGCCATGAGTTAAGGTCAGGAATCTGGGTTCTGCGGCCGGACTCTCCAGGGGTGATGTGTTTATGGCCTGGGGCACCATGCGTGCTGAGAAGGTGATGGATGAGAAACCAACATTTGGTGAGCCCTTGGCATCAACCAGCGGTAAATCCAAGGGAACTGGACTCATACCAACGGACTGCGATGGGTTTGCTCTCTGGAGAACTGTGCAGCTCATAGCTGGTTCCAAACTACTTTCCCTGTGAGAATAATCCTGCTGAATACTGCCAGGGTGAACAGCTGATGCCATTTTCATCTCCTTCCATCCTTTACAAAAACTGATCTGGCTTGACAGGAGGCTACTCTTCAGAGAAGCTACGTTGTCCTTGCTGGATTCCTGCATGAGGGAAGAGATAAAATCACAAACTCGGTGAAGATCCTTTATAATCTATGTTCTTCTGTCACACATATGAAGCAACTGTAGTTCGAAAAAAGTCCCAATAGTTGTTAGCATATCCTGCGATAATTTATATTCTACAAATTATAAATTAGCCACGAGACTTAAGGTTTCAGAGTGAGAATGTGGGTTGAAAACCCAGGAAGCCCCTGGATTAATAGCTGCTGAGGCCAGAACTATGTTTCCTAGGACAAAACAGTAAAGCATTAGTATTCCTATTAATATTCCTGCTGCTATATACTTGTATGGGGCATTAAATCTGTATATAAATAAGAAGAATTTGAAGTCACACCAACATCCATCTTCCCACCACGTCCTGGGCAGGGTTATGGAGGAGGCCAGAAGTCTGTCTCAGAAATCATAGAGCACGCCTTGGCTGGGAAGCCGCTCCCATCACAGAGCACGCACACACACACGCACACACACGCACACACAAGCACACGCACGCGCACACACACGCACACGCACGCACACACAAGCACACGCACGCACGCGCACGCACACGCACACACACACACACGCACGCACATGTAGGGTATACATATCCTTATGGGGACCGCTCATTCATTTCAATGGGAAAAATTCTAACGCTAACTATGACAACCTTAACCCCTACCCTGCCCTAACCATAACCATAAGTAACCTAACAAAATACAAGAGTTTTTGCATTTTTAGTTTTTTCATAGCAGTCACCGATTTTTATAAAATACAGTTTTCCCTTATGGGGACCAGGAAACCGGTCCCCATAAGGGAAAAAAAAACGGATATTTATCACGTTATGGGGACATTATGTCCCCATAAGGGTAGGTAAACCTGTTCGCTCACGCACACACACGCACACACACACAGACACACACAGACACACGCACACACAGACACACACACAGACACGCACACACACAGACACGCACACACAGACACACGCACACACAGACACACACACGCACACACACACAGACACGCACACACAGACACACACACAGACACGCACACACACACACACACACACATACATACAGGTATACAGTACGCACATACACACACACACACACATTCACAGACATAAACAACAGAGAACAGAGCTGAAATCTCAGACCTGAACATGCAAGGCAACTATGCTACTCACTTATCCTCTATTACACCCACCCAGAGCTACAGATTACATACAATAAGTAGCACGAGGCCTTGAAATGCAATGCATTCTTCATAACTTGTCAAAGTCATATACAAAATAACCAATACCAGCTATACAAAAAAAAATTATTTACACTGAATTACTAGTTTTCTTTACACACGGACAAGAATTTCGATTAAACACGTACGATTCTAATGAATTCTAATGAAAGTGGGATTTCCCCAATTTCTATACCAAATTCTTTAACAATTATAGCCTACTACAAACAATAACAGGCGCGATGCAATATTATAACAGCAACCTATAAAATTCAGTTGAATCAGCAAAACCATATATTTCAATAAATTAGCCAGCATGTGTGTTAAATGCTACACATGTTTACCTTGGTGATGCTGTATGACACCTGTGTAGGGAGCCTGCGAATCCGGAATTCCATGAAGTTGTCGCACGTCCCTGCTTCCTTTTGGTCTGCATAACACAAAACGATTTTGCGGTTTTAGTCTGCACAGGAATATATATGCATTTAATAACCTAGTTCAATTTGGCTGCCATTCTACGCATAATAAAAACCCATTTTGCTTTTTTTTCTTCCTTTTGATCTATCTGGCAAACAAGAAAAAAGTATAGGCTATGTGACAAGGACGAAATCAAGGCTGAAAAACGCAAAAGGACCGCAGAAGTCAGGAAAAAGACCCGCACTGATCCTCAAACATTCCCCTACCAGTTTATCTTAGCGGCTATCATGGTGTCGCTTCCTCATTTTTCGAAAGAAGTAGGTCTGTAATCTGAGTAGGTGGTCTCTGCGCGGTCTTTGTGGGCTGCCACAGGGGCATTTTTACGTTTGAAAAACACCACGAAAGCGATCTAAAATCGTTCATGAGGAAAATATATAACAGACTAAAGCAAGAGCTTAGCATAACTTTGCGGCTCAATCGGAACATTTTAAAAGCTGAAATCATGTTGTTTATTGTTGGATTGTAACCTGGTTGTCTTTTATTTGTACCTTTACCAAAGTTAGTGAAACGCCCCAACTTAAAATAAATGCAAATGTAAAACATGGGATTGGCAAATTCCAATAAACTCGGTGAAAAGGACAATGTAAAAGGTGTAGGCCTACTATAATTGTGGTTTAAAAATAATTAATTTTAAAAAGAATGAAACGAAAATATATTAGCTAATTCTGAAAGTGTCTTCCGGCGGCATAACGTTGATGTTACGTCTTAATTAAATAAGTTTCACTAACGGGTTTGTTAATTATTTTTTTCTTGGAGAGAAATGCCCGCAGCAGCAGGAAACATTTTAAATGACAGCTTCCCTGCTGTCAGTGTCGATGGCCATATGGTGCGATGGCTGAGATAGTAATGAGCGGCCATTTTACAGCCCGTTTCCTCCTAAAGTCCTTTATAGTCTTAAATACCAAGGCTCCGTATCAAAAGGCGTGTGAAAAATGCGTTGCTTTATGATGCTTGCATATTTGATGCTAATTTGTAAATTGTGTTAGACAAATTAAATTAAATAAAAGGTTAACTTAAATATAAAAGTGGTATTTTATCAATTTAAAGCGTTTGCTCCCATAGGCCTACATGAAATAGACATTTTCTGCATCAGGAAAACTTTAGATTTGACAATAAAAGTAGCCTACCAAAAACAAACTAAACTAAATATTGTCTTATTGTTAACATTGTTCCCTACTGTAGCACAAGTAAACTCTTGCAGTTTTTTTAAAAATTATCTTATTTCAATTTCAGTTCTTCATTTGAAAAAGGCACCACCATCAGAGAAACTAAGGGAGAAAATGCTGGAACTTCGTATAGCCGCATGGGCGCCCCCGTGAATCACCACTCACACGCACCGCTGATATCATTTAAGTTCGCATCTCTTTCACACTTGATGACCACATATTTACAATTTTGCATGCATGTGTGGAAAATCATTTTTTAAATAGGCGATATGTATAGCAAAGCTTGTGATTGGTTGGACGCTTATGATGTACGTCGAGGAATAAACGTGACTTTGCTTTAGAATAGATTCTATTCTGATTGATACCACTTGTCTTGGCTCCCCAGGTATGACACATATGTCAAAATTGGTAAAGAGAAGCTCATGCCAGTTTATTTTAATTGTGTCAAGTGCAGTTTTTTTTTCTTTTAAATTCCCACTAAAACAAATGATGCTTCTGAATTGCCCCAACTTCAACAGTGTCCTCACTGTCCAATGGTCTATCAGATTTGACCTGTTCTTTGCTTCTTTGTTGATCTTGAATGCAGAGATTCAGTTGGCAACTGACATGCTATGGGGTTTGGGTCAGTATAAGAGCAAGAAAAACTAGTTAATAACTAGAAAACTAAAAAAAAAAATCGTCTGTTCATTGACATCATCACCAACGAATTTCCAAAGCCTGTCAGATGAGTGGTGAAGTGTTTCAAAGGTTAAACATCAAGCGCAGTTAATCAGATTAATCATTCTAAAATAGATTTTATCGTGTTATTGTTTTTAGAGAGTAGAATATTGCGGTACACAGTCAGACCTACCACACTGTTGTCCTTCCTCTCTTAGCAAACGATTGGTGGTGCTCCCTTGTTCCTGAAAAAAATATAGAGCATGGGAGTGATTCAATCACTTGTGTTTAATATGAGTTTCATAACGATGAAATGTGTGATTTATTATAAAGCAACATACTAAAGGTAACATGCCATTCCATCTCCTTGCACCTTTGCAGGTGTCTCCACACATGATCCCAGCTCCTCCTTTATTTAACAATAACTGAATACAACCAAGGCTGTGTGTGTGTGTGTGTGTGTATCGCTGATAAAACAATTCCCTGGGATATAATTGCATTATTTTAAAAATCAAATGAGATAAAACAATGTATATGTGAGAATTCAGTAAAATTAATCCATTTTGACACATTAAGAAAGAGATGTCCTGGAAAGTAAATACATGTGTGTTGTTTTTTTACAAGGTCAGCATTTTTATTAAAACCTTATGTTATTTACAACCATTCTCTACACTCTACCCTTCAAATGTTTATCGCTATGAAGCCGTAATGGTTTCCGTACAAAGAATGAATGTATCTCTTTAGGCTTGTTTTCAGGTTGTAATTGCTACTTGTATTCTGTTCTTCTGTTTTTTCCCTTTCATCTTTGGTGAAAAAATAGACACAAAAACTGTGACACCAGCTTCATGGCTACCTGTAAACCCCCCCCCACACACACATACGCACACACACGTGCACAAAAAGCCCAGCAATTTCGATGCTTGCAATGCATCAAACACTTGTAGCTCTTTGTTCTTTAAAGCATCATCTAGCCCAGGAGTGGTCAGTCTTATCTGCAAAGGGCCCTTCTATATGCAGGTTTTCGCTGCAACTCCCTAATTAGCTCACTAATTAGAGGACTGATTGGCTGAAGAGTTCTCACACCTGGGTTTGAACAGCTGACCTGCAGGTTATCCCAAAAACCTGCATACACACCGGCCCTTTGCGGATAAGATTGGCTACCCCTGATCTACAGGGACTGCAAATCAAGTCTGTGTTTGTCCAATTAGTTTGCTTTTGAGTGTCTTTCAATCTATATGAACCACGGTGATGTGGGAGCTGTGACTTTTCTGTCACTAAGGTTACAGCCATATAAAGTCACTAAAGAAGAAAAAATGGATATATGAACAAGGTTTGTAGGGTTGCAGTCAATAGCATGAACTTCATAGAAAATGGCTTATGTATGACTGGACTGGTTAGACTGGAAATCTAGGGTGGGGGGCGGGGTCTTATAAAGCCTTAGAGTTACTCAAAAATTCAAAACATATGCATTCAAGTAGCCAGCATTACACTGTTAACTAATGAGTAGGCAAAATGTAACAAATTAACCAGCTCATATGACATAGTACATAGGAGGCAGCATGTGGTTCGGTGGGCTAAGCCTGTGTGCCTGTGATTGGTTGTAAGGTTGCTGGTTCGAGCGCCGCCTCAGCACATCTGCGGGCCCTTGAGCAAGGCCCTTAACCCCCAGCTCCCCAGGCGCTGCGACATGTGGCTGCCCTTCGCAGCCAGCTTACTCTGCCTAAAGATGATTTCCCAACAGGCATCAATAAAGTATCTATTATGGATTATTATCTAATATAGCAATAAGATACCTGCTAAATACGAATTGAAAAAGTGGATTAATTATTGTTTTAATTATCCAAAGGAAAACGTTAAAAAGGAAAAACAGAAAGATACTGCAAATGTACTAAAAAGTGGCAATATTTAGGATAATTTTATCTTACAGAGTATGCTGAAGCATGCAGTAATCGCCTTAACAGAAATCCAGTGACATGCAGTGCAATCCATAAGGAATTTCAGCATTTACACCTTGGATTCGCAGGAAAGGTCCTGACATGGGGAAAAGGATTTCATAAGCACTTTCTTTGTCTTGCTTTGAGCATCAGTGCTTGTTTGTGTACAATTCCGTGTGCATAAATTCTCCATAGAACTCATGCACTGCTTTGGGGGAAATAAATCATGTTGCGTTCCTTTGGATGAATGCAATTTCACGAGAGAAATGTTTGCTATGTATGTATGATAATGCTGAGGACATTTCAACCAGTTTGTATGGAAATGTATTTTTTAACAGTAGTATTTTAAATCTAAGTGATCGAATAAAAATCAAATTACCCAAAGCTGTTAAAGGCTTGGTATACATTTATTGATAACATGATTGATTGCTTATATTTGCTTTTTATACAGTATATACGATGCTATTCAATAATACAGCTTAATTATGCTAAAGTAACGGCCGATTTATGCCAGCGTGGGAATACAGTATACTTGAATAAAGAGTAATAATAATAATAATAATGATGTTTAAATCACTTCTGCTTTAAAGACACAAAAGAATTTAATGCTGTTTTGCATGTCCAATAAATTTATAACATTTAATAAATAAAATCAATTGTCACAGTATCAGTAGTTAATAAATAATGTTTTTTTGTTCAAAATAGGAGAAACTCTCTTTTAATTAATAGGTTAAACCCGTTACTCTGAGATTGTCCAGAAAAGTAGCGGTATGTGACTTACCGGGAGGGAAAGGTTTTCTGAACTTGGACATATCTTGGAAATATCACAAACAATCGCTGTCCTCTCAACTGGCAACCAGTTGTTCTCAACATAGGCCAACATGCACAGCCTGACCCTCTCTCTCTCTGGGCTCCAGATCCGAGCTGTTGCAATGTGCTCTTGATGGTGCATGTTGGTGCTCAGTGTGCCACTCTGACTGGGGTCCAGTGAGAAGTTCTTGGCACTGAGCTTCGAGGAGATCTGGTCATCACTGCAGTATATATCTGCAGTACACATAGACACAGGAATATCAAGAGAAGCTAAATCATTGTCCCACAGGCCTGAGAGGTGATCCTGTGTCCTTCCCAACTATTGTAGCTACCCCTCAAGCTGTCTTTCCTCGTAGACCACGGGCAAAACCTCCATCAGTGATGTCAAGCAATAGTCGCCCTCCCTCCTGAGCCTCTTCCAGGCTGATGCTCTGCTGACTTGCAACCTATTGTCCTTTGTGGCTCAGGTAGCGGCTGCCAACTCTCAAATTTCAGAGCTGGCGATAAAGAGGCCTCGCACAAGTTATTAATGAGGTCTTCTGGTCGTGTGCCTACGGTTGCCAGGAGAGACAGTAAGAATGCATGGCTTAGGAAAACATTGATATTCATTTAACAAAAGTGTGAGGCAACAGAGAATGAAAAAAACCTTTCAGTATCTCCTTAAACTTACCTAAACATTAAATAATGTCCTTTATGTCCCACTGTGTATGAAAAATATCATTTGCAAGGCTCTGGTTGTTAATTACCAACAGCTCTTAAAACCAGTTGATGGAATATCAGCCATTAATGAGAAATACCAAATGATTATCCTCTTTTTTTCCATTAGTTTTATTCTAGTATTTTTTGAAAGAAAATGTTTGTGAACAAGGCGTCTTTCTTTTCAGAAAAGTAAATTGCACTTGATGATGACTTTGTTGACGGCTGTGAAGCAAAATGGTGACAATTGCTTGTCATTTTAGCAACAGTTGGTGGTAATTCTCTGTGAAGAGCTGAAAATAACGCCTCAAACGCTGTGCCGAGTTTCCCGGTACCTCAAG